TCATTATGTTTGTGATTTCTTCCTTTACCTGAGACATTATTTCTACCAGCCTCATGAAGTTGTTTCTTTACTTCAGTTGCTGTCCTCTCAGAGATTTCAGGTGTGTGACTTCCATTTTCTACCATGACTGTGTCTCCCAGACTTGTCCTGTATGGGCTGGAGGTCTGAGCTTGCCTTTTGCTCCTTCATCTTACATTCTCCTGGGTTTCTCCCAACAAGCTGGTTGTGGGGCCCAGGGACTTCCCACATTGGCTGTCCCTCTGCGGTGTAGGGGAATGGAACAGGCACCTGGGTCTCTCTGTCCCCAGGTTTACAAGGAGGTAACAGGGTGTGGAGGGGGTTTCTCCAAGCCTGTGCAGCTACTCTGGAGCTTCCTTGATGGCCAGGGGTGTGTGGTAGTGGGACCGCTTCTCTCAGCCTGTGTGTCTACATCAGGACTCGCTCGATGGTGGCAGGCACACAGGGGTGTGTTTGTCTAATTTTCCCACTGAGTGATGGCTGCTCGAAGGAAACAAGGGCCTCCAGTGGTGGCCTGCAGGTGCAGGTGGCTTACCTGGCTCCCACTGGCTGCCTCAAAAAGCAAGCCTTCTGATGGGATTACAGGCATGTGCCAGGACATTGGGTTACTTTTTGTTTTAAATCACTTGTTTAATGTTCAAAGGTCCTTGACCAAGAAGGAGCCACCACTGGTGGATTTGTGTTCTCATGAGAAAACTTCTGGAAAGAGAAGTCACCAGCCTCTCTTTGTTGCAGCTGCTGTGTAGATGTTGATGTGTGTGTCCCTCATGAGCAGAAGGTCACCCAGCTGCTTGGATCTCTTCAGACCATAGGGTTGAGCATTCCCAGGGAACTTCCCAAGGTTGTTTTGCATGTAACCTTCAGTGGTTAGGACTATTTTAAACCGAAGACTCCCCATATAAAATGTGCCTTTATTTGCTGTTTAAAAGTGTACTGGAGGTATTGCCAGCTATGTATCATCCACAGCACTTATGTCTACCATCATGAAGAGCTCAGTCCTTTTCCTCTCTGCTGGGTGATTCATGTAACCTCTGGCTCTTCCTGTCAGCAAACTCGGGCAAACGTGCAGTCAGTTACACAGATGTATTACCCACGGTGTGACCATATTCACACTCTGCTCTTCTTGTTGCTCCTCATTTTGTTTCATTTTTTTAACCTCATTATTGACTTTTTTGTGATAGAGCTTCATGTCCATTTGAGTAAGGTAGGCTATGAAAATAAGTTCATTGTTAGCATTGTTAATGAAACACAACTTGCAAAATAGCTATCCTATAGCAAAGCACTAAGAGTGCAGGCTATGGAATTAGTGCTGACCTTAGACCTTGGACCACAGTGGAGTGTGAATGAGGCCCAGCTCTTCCAGTGCTTAGCCACTCACCGAACCTCTCTAAGCCTCTGTAAAGTAGGCATAAGTATGCCTTAAATGAGATGCGCATCATGTGATAAATGCTTAATTAAAAAATGCTGAAGTGCACCTCATTGCAAAGTGTAGTTCATAGAACTTGGAAATGTGCAATTGCATTCTTAGGGTTTGTCAGGCTTGGATTGCATATTCTAGTCTTCTGATAACTTCATGCAGCTTTGGGAGTTAAAAGACCTGGTTAGTGTTAGGGCTATCATAACAGAAGGGCAGAGGACTGCCACCACACGATAAGAAGTGCTCTTTAGGGTTTCTTTCTGAACTGCAGGGCTTCAGACATGAGATCTGTTCCTGATGGGCTGACCATAGGCCAGCTCTGTCTAAGCCATGAGGTCGTGATAATTCTCCATAGAGAGTAACATTTCTGTTTTTTATCTATGATACATATACTAGGTTCTCAATTATCGGTGGTGATAGCCAGCAGGAAAAAATGATGATCCATTAGTAGTGGGGGTCTTGGTTGACACCCTGAGTCCACCCATCTTTTTTTTTATTTATTTCTTTATTTCCATCATTCCTGTTCTCAAGACCACTGCCCTCTGGCTATAGCCTTCATCTCTTCCTCTGCACCATTTGGATTCTAGGGCGCAGATTTTCCGTGCTGACTCACACTTACCTCCTCATTTCCTATCGTTCTCTTTTGGAGCTAGAGGACTCTTGCTTCATTCCAATTAGAGAGATTTCTGTGGCTCTTTGTTGCCATAAAGCCCGGGCTCCTGACTTACCACCGACAGGGTGCCAGACAAGGAACTTTGCCTATGGTATTTCTGGCCATCAGGCACACTCAGACGCTCTGCTGGGTTTCTAACATTTCAGTGAATGCTGTTTTACAGAATAGTTCTTAATATCCTCATATCTTCTCCCATCCAACTTTGTGCTTTGAAATTTTCAGATCTGCAGAAAACAGGGAAAGAATATCCTCTTCTCTAGGTTCACTAATTTTTAAACCTTTGGACCCATTTGCTCCACCCTCCACCCCTTGTTGTGACTGAAGTGTTAAAATTTGCTGAGGCCTTCACCCTTACCCTCCCCCAGACACCTCCAGCTGCACCTTCTGCCATGTAGGGGCCCCACACATCCACAGTAATTGTCACCAGCCAAAGTCTAACAGCTCCCTGGTGTCTTTCTCTGACCAACTCAGACTCTCCCAGTTACCTCATCTATGTGCTTCCAGTCCTCTGGCCCTGGGATTCAGTGAAGGTCCACACATTAGCCCCCTAATATCTCTGTCTCTGTCTATCTGTGTCTCTTTGTCCCTGCTCTGTCGGTCTGTCTCCCTCTGTAGTGGGGACAGAGCCCAGGGCCTCAGCCATGCTGAGTTACTGGCTGGCCCTGCAGTCCTTCCGTATGGAATACTTTAACTTCTGCCCCTCCCACAGACAAATCCAGCTACTCATTTTAGTGCATAGAACATTCTAGATTTATTCAAGGTTCTTATTCCCCCTCTCTGTCCTGTGTTTCCTGCAAACCTGAAGTGAGTTCTAGAGACCTCTGCTTCACTCCTGTATTTTAAAATGATAACCTGAGGTGGGTTTCGCCCCTTTGTTTTCTCTCCTGTACCTTTTGGTCCTAATGACCTGATAGCTGTCCAAGTATGGCAGCCCAAGCCACTCAACCCAAGTCAGCTCCTCCAGTAGCTGTGCTCTGAGCACCTTCTGTGAGTGCTGTGTTAGGGCTGGGAACACTGGGCAGCCCGGAGATGGCTGGGGTCCTAACCCCTTCCGTTCTAACTGGAGAGTGGACTGGAAAGAAATGATGGAACTAGGTGGGCAGATGACCTGTACCCCTAGCTAAGGGCACACCTGTACCCTTAGCACTCTGAGAGGTTGGGGCAGGAGGATCACAAATTTAAGCCCAGTCTGGGCAGTTTAGCAACTTGACAAGATCTGTTAAAAAATAAAAGGTTTCTAAAAACGGCTGGGGGTGTAGCTCAGTGTGAAGGCTGTGGGTTCAATCCACAGTACCACCAAAAAAAGAATGCAAATCATGTGATGGGCGGACCATGCTCTTTCTTTCACTTGTTTGGGCAATAACTTTGTGGAGGATCTGAGGAGAGAGACTCAGAGAGACACACAGAGGCAAGGGGCCAGGTGCAGGATGGAAGGGACGCTATGTAACGGAGGGGTACAGGATCAGCCAGGGGGACCCACCCTGGACTCCCCTGCAAAGAGCTTGCCACGGGCATAGGGTTCGGCATTTCCAGGCCTTTGCTTTAACATATTTATTCATTTATAAAGCACTGTGAGGGCTGATCAGTTAGGAGAGGTAGCTAGAAAAAAGAACGCACATGCTCATTTACAAAGCAATCCTGAAACTCATCTTGCGGATTCATAGACCTTCCTTAAATCCCTTTTCCAGTTCAGAAACTTGGACTTACAGAAAAAGGAAAGAGTGCTGTTTTAAATTTTAAAAAAGTACTTGCTTCCCCTTTATTTTGGGAACTACCCCTGGCTGGTTTCAGAAAGAGGCGTGGCTGTCGTTTAGAGCTTCATACCTAGCAAAGAGGATGACAAACAATTCCTAGTCCCCAGGTCAGCTGGGCACCCGGCGGAGAACAAGGCAGAGAGCCGGTGCAGTGGCAGCAGGGCAGTAGGCCACAGTTCTGAGACAGCCTGGGGTTTCTGAGCATAGCTCCTCCCCGGTACTGACTGACTCACACCGTTTCTCCTCTGCTATAAGAACTGGCCCCCAGATTTGACAGTGATCCAGAGTGGAGAATACCATGCCCCCACTGAATTGCTCCAAAAGAATTTCCTAGAATGTGTGCAGAGAATCTATTCCGTAGGAATCGCTGCCCTGTGAGACCTTCTGATGGAAATCATAACAGATACTTTGTCTTTAAAGTGTAGGCTCAGCCTGATGTGCATGGGATGTCAGGGTATAAAAATCACGGCACCAGCATGGTGCCCAGTGTGTCTCCTCCACCCCAGGCCTTCCCTGCCTGCTTCTAGAGGACAGGGCTTCATGTTGAACTGGCTCCTGAGTGGCGGCGTCATCATGTATTGCTGCTGCAGATGATGTTACTTCTTCCCGGAGCCCCCTTGCAGACTTTGTCACCTGGCTCAGGTCCCTCCTGTCTCGACACAATGGAGCAGCTCCTTCCTGAAGCTTCCCTGACCACCTGCTTCTCCTCTTGCCAGACTTAGATGTCTTTTCTTGGTCTTGTACAGCCATCCTGTCATTCACTTGCCCCCTTACCATAATTTAAATTCATAGTCTTCACCACAAAAATACAAAAATCTGAGCCAGGGATACAGTCCAGAGGCATCGTTCTTTGCCTGGCAAGCATGAGGTTCTAAGGTTGATTCCTGGTACCCAATAAAACAGAACAAAACAAAACAAAAATATTTAGAATAGGAATCATAATCATATCTGGATGACAAAAAATTGATGCTCAATCAATATTTATGAATGAATGAATAAACAAGCAAACTTGTTTGTATTTGTGTATGGTAAAGAATGAAAATATATTCCTTTTACTCTCCCTTAACGGAGAGATTTCTAATGGCTTGCAACAGTTCTGGAATAGTAACACAATATCATTGTTTTTATATTCCAACAGGAAATATGGGATGTATAAAATCAAAAGGGAAATCCAATCTGAATGGCGATGAAATAGATTTGAAGACTCAACCAGTACGTAATACTGACCGAACTATTTATGTGAGAGACCCAACGTCCAATAAGCAGCCAAGGCCAGTAAGTAGATAGTCTCAGGGGAGAATTCCCACCGCAGGATCAAAGTATGGCTGAGATATATAATCCCCCATCTGTAATATATGCATGCAAATAATCACCTTGATTATTCAGCCCCCAAATAACTTCTGATATGCTTCATAAAGTAATCATTTGAAGAACATGTAAACAGTTTTAGGAAAACTAAGCCAATTATTGGACAATAGTTACGCATTTGGTCACATTCTCCTGTGTAGAGAAAACCATCTTTCTTGTTACTGGTGGCTTAAGATAGGTAATAAAGCCCGTGTGCACAGGTGGGACACACCTGTAATTCCAGTACTTAGGAGCCTGAGGCAGGCGGAGGATTGCTAGGAGTCTGAGGCCAGTCTATAAGACACAGTGAGTTCAACATGAAGTACATATCAAGACCTAGTCTCAAAACCAGACAGACAAAAAAAGATAACAAAATTAGCCCCAGAGTCTGAAAGCAAGAAGAAACACTGGATTCACATCAGAAGCTAAAGTAAGTTACACTATTAAATGAACATACATGATGTTTCTGAACATACAGATTATCATTCCAATATGTAACATGACAAATAAAATATCTCTTTGCCAAGTGTATAAGATTATTAGTAGCTTTAATAGTTTATTGATGATAAATACATATCAGTAAATTTGTGAGTGCGTGATGCTGAAAATGGACCCCAAGGCCTCTGACATGTGTGCCCAACCCCTCTTTATTTTGAGAAGGGCTCTCACTTAATTGCTAAGATGTTCAGTTTGGGCTATAACTTCCGGTCCTTGTGCCTCGGTACCCTGGAGTGCTGGAATTACACGTGTGCCACCATGTCCAGCTTTAATATAAAAATTTAAATACATTACATAAAGATGTATAGTTACTAGAACTACATAGTCTATAAATATGATGAACAGAAAATAAAATAAGAGGAATTTGAGCCACAGAGAGTCTTCTTTTAGACCTCAGAGGTCCCTTTCAAAACACCTACTAGTTTCTGGTACCAAATGCTATAGCTTTATACACTTTAAGCCCAAGATTTCTTGTTTGTTTGTTATTTTGGCTTTGTTCTTCAATGATGAATGAAGATATCCTTATTCAGAAAAACAAGACTCATGCGAAATTAGATCCATTTTCTCCTCTTGTTCAGTGTAAGGGAGATTAAAACTCGAGTTAGAGAGCAGAAATGTAAATGCATTGAGAACCTTTCAGTTTCCTCGTGTCCACCCTGAGTGTTTTCATATATACCTTCTGTGGTCACAGATGCCGTCACTTCATGAGCCAGTGAGTATGGCCTCTGTGACCAAAAATGACACCCTTAGCCTCGCTAGATGCATGCCATGGACTGATTGTAACTGGGCCTAAGGAAGAGGTAAAGTCAATGGCTGCAAATCCAACACTCTAGGAAAAGTTTTAAAGAAAGGTCTAGAGCAATGGTATGAGAGTCATGCACAGTGTATGTCTTTTGGCCAAAAGGTATTACACGTAATAAAAAGGTATTAAAATGTGTTGGGTGGGAAACCATGTGCCTGTAGCCCCAGCTACTCAGGTGGCGGAGACAGGAAGATCAAGTGAGCCTATGAGTTCAAGACCCAGTTCGGGTAACAGTGAGATCTTGTTAGGGAAAAAAAATTAACAATGTTTGTCAGTTACGTCTCTGATATTTGCAAATCCTCATGCTGCATTTAATTAGCTTCTCCTCTAATTGTTGCTTCTGAATCACATAAAATAAATCATATTTCTTAATTATGCAAATCTAAATGGCTAAATCTTTTAAAAATCTATATAGAATTTCTTTGAGTAAGTCTTGAAGGATAATATTAAACCCATGGATTTTCTGGTCTTTCAGTGTGATAATTTTCCCTCCTCACTGAATTAGAGATTTTACAGACTGAAATTCATTAAAAAATTAAATTTAAGTATTATCTATTTTCTTCCCATTCCATGAAATCGCTTTCTCAAGGAAACAGAAAACTTCACAGCTGGTGGTGTAGGCAGCACCTTCCTAGAAGAGGCCACGAGACCTCATGGGCCTCGCTGTGACACTGGCAGGAAGAGGTGGCTGTGGTGCCTTCAGGTCCTCCCAGCTGCTCTCTCTCTCTCTACGCTATCCGGGGATGCCCTCTGTGTCCACAGTGGAATCTAGGTCAACTCAAGAGGACACTGGCTAGGATCTGCTCCCAGCTGCCAGTGACAGCCCTGGCCACACGGCTTTCAACAAGTCCAGGAAACGTTGAAATGTTCTGGTGTGATAATCCTGCGAAATTATCAGGGCCCAGATGCTTCGGCCTTTCCTTCTCTGTCCCTTGTGTTTGGTTTCCATGGCTGCAGGGGCTCCAGCCTTCCCTCGTGACTAAGCAGAGAGAAGAAAGCAAGAGCTGCTGGGCACTCCCTCCGGGTCTGCGTGGGGGCTTGCAGGAGGCCGCTGAGCTGGGCAATTGCCACATTAAATAATGTGAAGTTCTGTTACCAAATAAGAGGGAGAGCTACAAGGGGGTGGCACGTAGCAGCCGCCGCCCAGAGCCCTGTTCAGTGTCCGCCAGCACAGCACGGTCCTTCCAGAAGGAAGATGGCGTCTCTTGCAGGTTGCAGTCTCACTCCGTAGAATTTTCTCTGTGTGCTGTCCTCAGTGCACTGACTCACTTAGCTAATTCACACACACCCGCTGCTGTTAGGAAAACGATACGCAAATGCACATGAGTAGAAAAAGCTAAGTGTAAATCATTTTTTAAACAAATATTCTCTTGTAGGTTCCAGAATCTCAGCTTTTACCAGGACAGAGGTTTCAAGCTAAAGGTATGTTTTCTTAGCAACATAGTTAATGGTTCTTCCTTACTGTTAGAGCCCCTAAGATTCATCATCCAGGATGTTTGTATTTATTTTTTTGTGGGAAAAATATATAAAGTGAAATTTCCCCCTTTAACCCGTTTACTTGGCGAGTTTGGTGGCACATTTTGTGTATCATTCACTCATCGGTGGACATTTGGGTCACTTTTGCCTTTAGGTATTGAATGATGAACACAGGTACATCATTTTACTATTGGTATATCTTTGCAGTATATAATAATTACACTCATTTGGGGGAGCTGGTACACACTCATACTGCATCTCAATCATTGCTGATTCCCTCTGGCCTTCCCTTCCCTCTTCTTCCTTCTCCAAATCTCTTTCTCATCTTCCCCAAGTCTACCTACTTGTTTCCTTGTTTCCTATCATCTTTTATTTTGACTTCAAATTTTTTACATTTTGCGTTTCTTATATAAAAGAAGCCATAAGATATTTGTTACACTGATGTACTTAGCATTATGGTCTTGAGACACTCATTTTCCTACAAAAGACTCAGATTTACTCTTCTTTGGGGCTGAATAGTCCTCCATTGTGTGTACTTACCACATTTTCTCTATCCATTCATCTGTTGATAGGCATATAGGCCCCTTCCGTAATTTAGCTATAATTTGTGAGTTGTGCTGCTATACATATGGGTACGCATGTATCACTGTGGTATGATGACTGTAGTTGTTTCAGAAAGATACTGAGAAAAGCAATAACTGAGTCAAATGGAATTTCTATTTTAATTTTTGAGGCATCTCAATACTGATTTCCATAGTGTTTATACATTTCTGCCAGCAATATAGAAGGGCTCTTTTTCCCCACAACCTCGCCGGCATTCAGGCACATCCTTTCTTAAATACAGAGTTAGGACTGCAGTTCTGGCAACGTGACTTCTCACAAGGAATGCTGTGCACAATCTGCAGAGCGCCTTCCTGCGGACCTCAGCTCTCCCTCCTGCAGGCAGGAAAGGCGAGTCTGCACCCTGCTCCCGTGCTCTTCAGAGCCTCCACATGTTCTTTGTGCCACATAGGAATTATCACATCATTTCTGCTGATTGCATCTTAAAAGCTTTTGCTTGTGTCCTTCATTTCTAGATCCAGAGGAACAAGGGGACATCGTAGTGGCCTTGTACCCGTACGATGGCATCCACCCGGATGACTTGTCTTTCAAGAAGGGAGAGAAGATGAGAGTCCTTGAGGAGTAAGTGCACCCAGGTGTCTGCAAGAGACCCCTCTGTTTTGCTCCTAGGGTCAGAATGACCCCCAGACCCCCTTCTTGTAGTGGGTGTGAGATCCCCTAGCCCCTCAAGTGCCCCTGAACCTAGCAGCAGAAGGAATAGGGCCAAAGGCATCTCCCTGAGGGTCCTGCTGTGAGCATTCTCCCCAGAGTTCAGAGAACTTCGACACAGAGACCAGCTGCTCCAACACTGTTCTGCCTTGGGAAGTTTGGGTGTGTGTGACATCTGCAGGTTACTTTAGGTGGCTATTTTAACTGGGTCTTGTTGCTCAGATGACACTGGGTTTACATCTCCGCTGCTTAGATTTCCTGGGCTCGGTGCTGCTGCCGCAGCAGCATACTGGGAAAGCCCTGCTCAGCACATGACACTTCCAGGAAGATGCTTGGACGTTTTCTTTCCTAGTCTCCTGCGTGTGACTCATAGACACATGACCTTCTCAGGCTCTGAGGCACCGGGCAGCATGAAGAATAAGGAACTCAGATTATTTTAGTTCTAGCTTAATTTTCCTACCAATTTGGTGTGAAGTATCAACCTGACCTGACGCACTGGGTGAGGAACTCTGTCATTAAGGAATGGTTGAGAGTAAGATTGCTTTTGGGTTGAGCCCAAACTTGAGCTGAAACGTGGCCCTTCCTCTGGATGACTGTGTGACCTGGTACATCTACAGTTATGAGATGGGAATGACAGTCCCTGAATCCTGGGGTTATCACCAGCATGGCGTATGTGTGCATTGCATGTGTGTATGTATGTGTGTGTGTGTGTGTGTGTGTGTGTGTGTGCATGTACAGCTGTTGTTGGGCATCACAGGAGATGGGGCTCCAGGGGCCCCTGGGATACTAAAATCCAAAGATGCTCAAGTCACTTACATAACATAGTATTTGCATAAAAACTCCATACAGTCTCCTCTTTACTTTAAATCATCTCTAGTGTATTATTTCCTTGACTTCTGTTCCTGTAAGCACCCTAAGCATTTCCCAGCTGGCCTGGAAGAAATGACAGATATTTCACTTCTGCAAGATAGGATCCATTTTTACCAACCTCCTTTAGTGCAGTGCTGAGGCTGAGCACCGTGACCCACATTTAAGTTGTGAGCCTGCTTTTCTTGGCTTCCACCTCTAAACAGTTTTGTGACATAAAGAGGAATTACTTTTCCCAGTGGACTCTGTCCCTACCCTCCCTCACCTTGCAAATAAATACCCTAAGATAGTTGCTGCTCAGCCCTTGAGTCTTGAATAAAAGCACTTTTCTGCGTGTGTTTTTATTCCAGACATGGAGAGTGGTGGAAAGCTAAGTCCCTTTCAACCAAGAGAGAAGGCTTCATTCCCAGCAACTACGTGGCCAAGGTCAACACCCTGGAAACGGAAGAGTGAGTCCCTGTCTGTTGTCACCTCTGAGGATGGGGTTCACTGCACTGAAGTGCCTGTTTATTAGCGTCCTTTACCTTCCCTGAAACTGACCACCCTGTGAAATGTTAAACTGTCTTCACAGGTGGTTTTTCAAGGACATAACCAGGAAAGATGCAGAACGGCAGCTGCTGGCACCAGGGAACAGCCCGGGTGCATTTCTCATCAGAGAAAGTGAAACCTTAAAAGGTAGGAAGTCGTTTAGGGTATCTTATAAACACTACTTAGGAAACCCATTGTTTGGAAAATATCCTAGAACTACTAAAAAGGGGATATAGTGGATTCTGGAAGTGAAAGTTTTAGACTTTGATAACAATAAACTCAAATAATTCATCTTGCTACTAAAAGGAACGCAGGTGTAATTATGGCTGTATTTTTGCTGAGTTTCTTGCGTTACTATGTACTTACTATGAATCTTAAAATTTTAAGAAAAAGAAAATCCATATAATTCTTCTGTTCAGCTAGTTTAAAAACTGTCATGCAAGTAAAATAGCATGTTGGCAACTTGGACAGCAAAGAAAATGCTAGCTTTATTTCTCCACTGGAATTTTTATAAGGCTTTTAAAATTATGTATTATGTACATGTTTAATTTCTATTTTACATATTCCTATGGCAAAATGCATACCACGGTGTTGTACAATATAAACTTTATTTGTAAAATGTAAACATGCAGCTTCCCTTATACTTATTTCCTTCCCGTAGGAAGCTTCTCTCTGTCTGTCAGAGATTTTGATCCTATGCATGGTGATGTTATTAAGCACTACAAAATTCGAAGTCTGGACAATGGAGGTTATTACATCTCTCCACGAATTACTTTTCCCTGTATCAGTGACATGATTAAGCATTACCAAAGTAAGTAAAAACAGAAGGTTGGACAAGGCAGAATATGTTTATTATGATAAGTATAAGGTGTCAGATACTATTTTTTTGGTATTAAAACATGTATCATATCTGTTTTAGATAAAACTGGCAGATTGTATCCTATAATTGATTCTCAATTTAACTGTGACTAAATATACAAGTGGCCTTTAATTTATGATGAACTTATAGTGCAATAAACCCATCAAAAATTGGAAATATACAAGTTGAAAATGTATTTCATGTATTTAATCTACCAAGCAACATAGCTCAGCCTGCATTAGACATGCTCTGAATACTTACATTGGCCTGTAGTTGGATAAATCATCTAACACCACAAAGCCAATATTATATTATAGTGTTGAGAAGCTCATTCAGTTATTTAACACTATATTAAGAGAGAAACCCAGGATGGTTGCACAGGTGAACTTTTCTACCATGATAAAGAAAAAGTAAAAAAAACAAAACCCTAAAGGGAACTATTATAAATTGGAGACTATACATTCAAAGTGAATCCAAAATGAGACTTGATCTTTTTAAATAATTATGCTACTCCTTTCTACCTAGACAATGTTGTTTGACAGTCAACATTTCAAAATTGGAGAAAAAATTTTGTTTCATTCCTTTGCACAGTGGATATTTTTGTGATGGATCCGTCTGTTTTAAACTAGAGTATAATTTTGCAGTTCTGTGTTTGTATGTGTGCATGTGTCATGTGTAGAAGGCTCACTGACAGTGGCAGCTCAGTGTTCCTTGTGTCCAGTCACTTTTCATGCTGTGGAAACTGTAGCCTTGATGCTAGGTCCATTTCTTGTGTGACTAGGCTTGGATGTGGTTTGTCACTGCTGTGTCTTTCTGCTGTCATGGTGTCTAATAGAACACACACTGTACAGCCCAGAACACACAGGGCAAAGGACCGCAGACTTCATGAAGTCCCCTCCCTCTCCCCTCTTTCAGTTATGCATCTGGCCCATCTGTTGAGCTTTTCTTTGTAGTAGCTGGTAAGATCTAGATATATACAGTTGGCCCTTGTCCGCTGTAGGTTCTAATCTGGGAATTTGACAATTAACCAAGGATGGAAAATATTTTTAAAATTGAATTAGTATTAAACATATTGGTGTAGGTTAAATACCATATAGCTTTATATAGCACTTACATTGTGTTAAGATTTATAAGTAATCTAGAGATGACTTGGAGTATATGGAAACGTGCATAGGTTAGATGCACACATGATATCACTGTACATCTTGCAAATCCGTGAATTCTGGTGCGGAGTGGATTGTCCTGGAACTATCCTCTTTGGGCACAGACTGTTGGCATTTCTTAAACTTGGTTTTCTGTTTCAAATTAGAGCAGGCAGATGGCCTGTGCAGGAGACTGGAGAAGGCATGTATCAGTCCCAAACCGCAGAAACCGTGGGATAAAGACGCCTGGGAAATCCCCCGCGAGTCCATAAAGCTGGTGAAGAAGCTCGGTGCAGGACAGTTTGGGGAAGTCTGGATGGGTAAGTGTCTCAGGCCGGCGCCTACTCTGGAGACAGTGATAAAGAAGGCTCAAGCCAGGTTCTTTCAGCTTCGGAGCCAGCTGCTCAGGGGTATCAGAAGCACCATCTTTTACCTCCTTCTGTTCACTTGGGGCCACAGATTGATCTGCAAAATCTATTGCCTCCACTCTTTCTCTTCCTTGTGACTTAGAATTCTCCTACTGTTTGTAAGGTAGGGAGTGATGGGTATTTATCCAGTGTTCTGTCTATGCTTTCATAATTCCTTCAATCTCAGATTCTCTCAACACACATTTGAAACATAGGAAATCTGCCTCCATCTCAGGGAGAGCTGCAAACTTAGGACCACTGGCTTACTGAAAAACTTCACATTTGTTGCTATTTGTGGGTCACCAAGAAAGTTTCTAAAGAGTCTCAAAGTCACATCATTAATGAGTCCTTCCTTAGGGCTAAGGATCACCTTCTCAGGATGCCAAGATGTCCACAAACTCACAGCAGGGACTTTCTGCAAGGCATTCTTTTGGCCCATCTGTTCTTTCGTGATAAAAACTTAAAAGGATTTTAAGCATCATAGTGCCCATATGTTGCAATGAAAAAATGCAGTCGCTTCTAGAAAGGGTAGCATAGGAGGTCAGACAGAGCTGGCTGCCATTTTCTCTGTGTCTGTTGTATGTGAGCAAAAGCAAAAATGATTTCCAGGTGAAAAGAGCAGTCAGCCCAACTGAACAGAAACAGGACTTCCAGGCTGGCGCAGCACACTGTTACATAGCGGCCACCAACAGAGGCCTGGGAGGGAGAGATTCCCTCTGAACGATGGCCTCAGGAGCACAGTATTCTTTTAAAGCCAGTGTCTTTTAAATATAGCAGATACTGACCGGCCTATAATGAATTCTTGCTGCACTGTACAGGATCTGCAGGATTCACATGAGGTGTCACACGCTCAGTGTCGGTTGGCATCTCTTGGAACTGGCTGGCAGCGCGTAGCAGGTACTGGGTTTTCATGCTTGTCAGCAAATTTGTGGTCTCTTCCCAGACACATTTGGCTGCCTAAATCACATCATCCTCCTCATTTCTCCCCTCTTTTAAAAAATTAATGTGACATTAGAATAACATACAATTAGTCTTTTTAAAGCGAGCACTTCTGTGGCATTTAGTACCTTGGCATGTTGTATAACTACCACCTTTGTCTAGTTCAAGACATTTTTACCACACCAAAATGAAGCCCTGTGCCCTTAACCTCTCCTCTCTGTGCTCGGCAACCACTTTCTGCCTCTCGGAATTTGATGACCCTAAGTGACCCCTGTCAGTAGGTCATAGAATATTTGTCCTTATGTATCGTTTAGTTTATTTCACTAAGCAAAATGTCCTAAGGTGTCATCCATGTTTCAGAATGTGGTAACGTTTCCTTCTTTCCTGTGGCTGAGTAATATTCCATTGAATCAGTCCACCATGATGTGTTGATCCATTTATCTGGTGTTCAACTTATTGTGTGGACAAAAATTTTTATTTCTCTTTGATGCAGAGTAGCAGTGCAAATAATGGGTCATGTGCTATGTTCTGGGTCAGACTTTCTGAGCAACTGTAAAGCTATTGTTTGCTCATTTAAAAATGACTTGCCTTCTTCACTTTTCCTCTTGAAATATTTTTTAAATATTTATTCATTTTTCCACGTTCACAGAATGAAGGCAGGACTAGTATAATGAGAGTATATCTCGCCATTTGTTAATGCCTACTGGTCCTTTGCTTTTTTCTTCTCCATCTCTTTCTTTCTGCCTGTGTCTGTCTCTCTGTCTGTCTTACACACATGTGTTGCAGTTGAATCCTTTGAGAGTGAGTGCAGGTTTAATGGTTGTTTATTCTGAAATATTCAAGTGTGCATTTCCTTAGAGCAGGACAATTATCCTGCACAATCCAATGTGACATTTGCAAATTTAGCATTGATGCAGATTGTTATTTAACCTAGAGTTCATATTTAAACTTACGCGGCAGTCCCTGCCATGTCCTGTGACTGTTTTCCCAGCTTAGGGTGACACACGGTGCCTCTTTCCTTCATCTTGCCTTCATCTCTCATGACACCCGCAGTTTTTAGGCTCCAGCCCAGGTGTTTTTTTTTTACACTGCCCCGCAGTTTGGGCTTTCCTGCTGCTTCTCATCTTGTGTCTCAGGTCCAGCCCTTGTGAGTGACATCGGAGTGCCCAAGTGATGAGCTGTTCTTAACACCTCTACCGGAGACTCATAATGTTGGTTCCATTCTTGCTAATATCATGTTCAGCTTTAAAGGAGATGCACAAGGTTTTTCCCACTATTGCAATTAGTAACTAATCTGTGGGAGATTCTTTAAAATTGTGTAAAAAGAATTTTCCCCAAATGCCCTTAGCATAGTCTGCTCATGTTGAATTTTTCCTCCTAAAAGCTGCCACATCTCTCTGAAGCCCTGGCATCTCCTGTTCCCATCCCTTGCTCCCTGAACATTCTCCTCGGACTCGCTGACGTGTCCCAGGAGCCAGGGCCTCTGCCCTCTCTCCCTGTTCTTCCCTGGTGAGGGCAGTCTCTTGTCTCTTTATTGAGAGCACTGGCAGAGAAAACACTGCTGCAACTGCATCCCATTGTGGTCTAGGTCTCTGGGTCCAGCTGAGTGCTTGTTCCTTTGTGTGCTAACTTCAGCTGTGAGTGTGGACCCTGGGGAGGAAGACAGGAGGACAGAAAAGAGTACCTGGTTTCTGCTGCCTCTGCACATTCTACCTTAGGTGCATTTTCACTGATTTTCTCACTCCACATAGGAGTCCTGTAAGAGAGGCATTATTGTCGTTTGGTGGAATTAGAGAAGGAGGCTGCCTGAGGTCGTTCTAAACAGTGAGAATCAAGCTGATTGGTACGTGGGAGCACTTCCGTGGACCCCACTGAGAAGCCATCTACAAGTAACGGTGACTTCGGTGACTTCGTTAGCCTCAGTCCCCACATCAGTGAGGTGGACAAAGCACCATCCCGTCAGTGGCTGAAAGATAGAACAAGATTATGTTTCCGTCCTGTCTGGCTTTTGGTGCTTTGTTTGTATTATTATTTTCATTTCTCTGTGTTTAACTCTACTCACCAGAAGCTAAATTTCAATGGAATTTTCCTAGTTTTAAGTATGAAACCAAACTACAAATCTTACACTTGGACCCTTCTGTCGTATGACTGGCAGGGTAAGTTATGAAGAACACGTAAGAGTAGTTCAATGGCATTGTACTTAGTCGCTGTAAGGCAGTCACCCTGAATGTAAAATGACAGCTTGGAATGTTGTCTCAACCCTCCCATGACCAGCTGTGAAGCCAGGATTAAAAGACAGAAGTCCGTGCTGAGAACTAAGTAACAGCCAACCAAGTACACCTTAATCCAGCTGCTTGAGTGGATTGCATGTATGTGAGTTGTAGCTCAGTCAGTGTTGCTTTAAAAGTGCATTTACTGCCACACTGGGTGCCTGGCACCTGAAGTGCTGTGGTAAGCAGTGTGGCCATTGAGCTTCCTGGTAAGGGTGAGGTAACTTCGGCATATGCTTCCCTGCACCCAGTCAGCAGCAGCGAGGGTTAGAAAGCTACGGGGCGTAACGGTGAAACAGGAAATTGACCAGCCGCTCTGCTGGTGAACTCCTTACCAACTCCCTGATGGCAGCACACAGAGGTACCATTGGCTGCCCTGCCTGCTCATTCCAAAAACACTGAAGGTTGAGCCAGCAGGAAATTGGGCCGGCAGGAAGATAGTGGTGGGCACTGAAGAGAACCAGGCATATAGCCCTGGTTTTGTCCCAGTTCTGCCTGTTTGTTGTGCATCCGGAGCTCGGCCACACTGGTCCTTTCTGGAACTGGGAAAATGTCTTTGTTTCCACTTGCACATACTCTAACTCCCTGCCCCTTCCCACCCTTTCCTGTTCATAGGCATCCAGTGGGGCAGGTGCCCAGTGTTTGCACTTCAAGTTCAGAGAACTTTAATTTAGCAGGTACCCAGGTGGTGCCTGGGAGAAGCTGAGGTTTAGAAAAGAGGACAGTTGAGCCGGGCATGGTGGCTCACGCCTGTGATCCCAGCACTCCACTCAGGAGGCTGAGGTGGAAGGATCGATAAGAGTTCGAGACCAGCCTGGGCTACAAAGTGAGCTCAAGGCCAGCCTGAACTGCATAGCAAGACCCTATCTCAAAAAAAAAAGACAAAAAAAAAAAGAGGATAGTTAAAGCGTTGAAAAATATTGGACTTTTCTAACCACAATGTCACTTTTTATTCAAACTGTCTGAGAGCAAAAGTCTTGTGAAACTGAATCATTTGACAATAAAACAAATTGAAGAACTGGCACACACAGTACATTTGGATGACTGTTACATAAGTGAAAGAAGCCAGCCACAAGGAGCACATATTACATGGTTCCATTTTTGTGACACATCTAGAGTATGCAAATCTTAGAGACTGAAAGTAGATGACTCGTTGCCTCAGGGAGAGGAGAGCCTAGTTTCAGTGACTGTTGATGAGCATGGGCTTTCTCCTTGGGGTAATGCAAATGTTCTAAAGCTGATTGTGGTGATGGTTGTAAAATTCTGCATATGCAAAACACCGATGAGCCTTGTACTTTAAATGGATAAATGGTATGGGATATGAATTGCATTCAATACAGTTGGCATATATATATATATATATATATATATATATATGCATAAAATAAATAACACAGGACTGGAGACGTAGCTTAGCAGCTCAGTGCCTGCCTGGCAAGTGCAAGGCCCTGAGTTTGATTCTCAGTACAAAAAGAAAAAAAGAAAAGAAAGAAAGAAAGAATACTAAAAGACTCCAGGTACCATTTATCCAATTGTCCCTAGTGATGACATTTTGGAAATGTGTAATACAGTATCACTACCAGGATATGGACATTAATAGTTATTCTTTTCAATTGTGATTTTTTTCCTTCTAATCTTGGATGGATGGATGGAAGAAAAGTAGGAAGGGAAGGAAAGGGAATAGGAAGGAAAGGGGAGGAAAGA